TTGGATATTTTTTTTGTCCATGCATTGTTGGGCACTTTGTTCAATATCATGCTGTGATAAGGGGCGTTATCCAGTATAATCATAGATGGACTCTCCAATTTTTCTAATAACTGATGTTGAAACCATTTCAAAAAATTGTCCTGGTTCATCTCTCCATGGTAATCGCTCAATTTTGTTTTCGAAGAAAATATCGCTTCACTACCCTCAATAAACCCATTTTCATTTCCAGCATGTAATATAATGTATCTAAAATATATTAGTTTTAAATTTTATAGTGCAAATTGTGTAAAAGTACATACCTTTTACCATCTGTTGTAATAGCTTTCACGCTTTTTTGGTTTCCATTTTGCCAAGAGCGACCTATGGTCCCATTTTGAAATATCCAAGTTTCATCGAGGAATACAAACTGGTATAAGGCCTCATCCTTGGCTTGATTGTATTGCCTTAGAAATACCACCCTTTTCAAAGCTATACTTGGTAGTTCCATGAGCCATCGTCGCGGATTGTCCTTAAACCACTTAAATCCAAGATCTCTAAGCAACCGCCTTAAAGACGTGGCACTACCATCAAATAATGCCCTATCTCTTAATCGAGACCATAAAGTTTGTATCGTAACTTGTTCTTCTGAAACCATGTGTAATATGACATTATAATTTAGTTAACAAATTAATGCAAATTTCTGATAAGTTATTATAATAAGATCTTACTTTTGTGATACATATTATAGATCACTTCTCGAATGGCACTTGTATCCAATGTCGTTGTGTTGGTTACACGTTTAATATAACTCCGCTTTTTCTTGGGCGATTCTAAATTTGCATCACTTTTCACACCCTCGGAAATACGACTAACTGTCCTTAAACTAATTTTTAAAGCAGCAGCAACACGCTACAAAAAATGAAATAAAATTTCACTATTATTAATATACATTACATATAATTATTAGTAACCTACCTCTTGAATAGCATTTAAAGGCAACAAAGGCCCGTTGTTGTCCCTTTCTTGCTCAAAGTAGTGCATTAACGAGGCCACGAGTTCCTTACACCGACTATTTAACTGTTTGGGCATCTTTATATACCAAAATTGCCTTTATCTACTCGTAAAATGAATAATTTTGTTTTGAAACAAACAGTTGTTGATTTACAGTATGCGGGGCCAAAGGATTTATAAAGATTTGAAATGCCACAAATTGATTCAGTGTCAAAATTAATACAAATGTCAGTTCCCAGTTTAAATAAGTTTCAAGGTGACAATGTGTCAACGCTGCGAAATCGGTTTAGTGCGTTTACATGTCGATAAGTGGTTGGAGCGTTTGCAAAACATTTTATTTCGCATAATGCGTCTAAATTTATCAGAAAGCAACTTATGTGATATTTTAATAACAATGTTTATATGACTATTAACCATAATAAGAGAGTAATGACCATTTTACAATTTATATATCACATTAATATGAAACTGCAATAGAGCAATTGTTTGTGATACAAACCTAGGCATTAGGTCGGGGAATTTTTGTCGTGATGACGTGCACGCCACTTTGTTTGGCGTTGACTATATTCGTCGTTATTCGTCAGAGCGGTCCGCTCTTAGTTAAAAGTCTCGTCGGTCTGTTAGTCTGTCAGGTCTACCTACCCCGATACCAAACATGTTTAAGGGGAAAAGGGAATGAAGGAAAGAAAGGAAGGAAGAAGTAGAGCAAAGAAAAGAAGTAACTCATTTGAAATAGCTTAAGCATTATTGCTTTGACTACTCGAATTATTTAGTAACTCCAAAAAATAATTTTGATCGGTATTGTATACTGAAATAATTTTGGCTGGTCTGAATTTACAATTTAATTTTGATCACAGTGCGAGGCGCGGCCTGGAATGTTTGCGAACTAGCTCGACTGTGTAGTCTACTAAATCACGCAACAGAGGGTTGCTGTGTGATTCCGCTTGATTATAACGTCGCTGCGCCTGTTGTTTTACGTAATCTCTTAAATATAGGATATCAAGATCTCTATGAATAGTCTCATTTGACACGTACCAAGGGGCGTTAGTAATTGTGCGTAGGGTTCTGTTTTGCAGGACTTGCAGTTTTTGCATGTGCGTCTTGGCAAGAAAACACCAAGCCGCGCATGCGTAGGTGATTGCGGGTCTTTAACCATTTTATACAACCCAATCTTGTTGATCAAACTTAATTTTAAATGTCTGCACAACAGAGGATAAAGATGCCGTGGCCTGAACTATGAAAGATGGTATAAGGACGATGCCGTAGTCTGAACTATACTAAGTGACATATAAATCCGAACACCCAGTTTAAATGGTTTTATTTTATTAAAATTTTGTATAAGTACTTAATGAAGCATAATAAGTAAATTATAAAAATTTCAAAATGATTGCACTGCTTTAAAGCCCTTTGACCTTTAATAATGTGTGGATGCACCCTGATGTGCTACGCATTCTCCAACGCGCCTAGGCATGCTTCTGATCAGGTGGTCAATGTCCTCCTGTGGTATCTCATTCCAGGCAACCACCAACTCCTCTTGAAGTGCTTCTAGAGTCTGAGGAGGACGTTGCAAATTGAGCAATCTCCTACCCATCATATCCCACACGTGCCCAATTGGGGATAAGTCGGGAGATCTTGGTGGCCATGTTAACAACGTGACATCATTATGTTGAAAGAAGTCTATTGTGACTCTTGCAACATGTAAAGGTGAGCTGGAACCATAACTTCAACAGTGTGATGAACATGTCTTTCAACAAAAAACTGTGGATTCCTCCTTTCACCACGTCGCCTTCTAACCCTGGCACGACCATCGTGCATGCCTAAACAAAATCGAGACTCGTCACTAAAGACAATACTGTTCCATTCCTGATCCCAGAGTGACCGTTGTCTGCACCACTCAAGGCGATTACGTCGGTGTTCTCGAGTTAAAGGGAGGACCCAGTGTGGCCGGTATGAAAACAAGCCAAAACTTCTCATTCGTCGGTAAACACTTCGCATGCCAATAGGTCTTCCGTGTTCTGCAAACCATTCATTTGCAATGGACCTGGTAGTGGAGAAACGGTCCGTTAAGGCCAATAATCTTAGGCGACGATCTTCACGGTCTGTTGTTCCACGGCGGCGTCCAGTGCCCCTTGCTCTTTGCGTAGGGGCTTCTTGAAGCCATGCCTGACAACACCTAACCACAGTGTCTACACTTCTTTGCACTCTAACTGCAATTGCCCGATAAGAAAGTCCAGCTTCCCGAAGTCCCACTATACGGCCCCTATCAAACTCACTAAGTTGACGAAATCGTACAGGTCTCCGTACTCTAGGCATCGTAACCGATCGTAAAGGATGTCAAGAACCAAAATTCGCCAACGTTGATTCTTTACTGCGGCTGAAATATTCATTTTTAGAGCGTTAGTGAATTAAAAAAAGCAGTATAAAAACCGGAATGTCCAACTGATAAGGCTGATTATTATTTATTAAAATAAACCCATTTAAACTGGGTGTTCGGATTTATATGTCACTTAGTATATGAAAGATGGTATAAGGACGTGTTCCCGAAATGACTATTTCGACCTGTTTTTGTTTAAAATCAAGTAAAACATTATTATAAAAAATAAATATGCTAAGTGATCGGTAATGATGCACATCCATTTTAAAATAATTAATGTAGTACTATCATGTTATTTTATTAGGAAAAACCTTGTCAGAAGCATAATGCTCACCTCTCTGATTTTGACCTGTGTGCTGCATAATTTTACATCTGTTTCTAAATCTGAGATATATAATAGGGGTCCTAACACAGATCCCTGCGGTACACCAGAGCAATTTTTTGTGTGGTAGAGTACTTTTGATTTAATCAAACTTTTTGAAATCGATTTTCAAGGTAGTTTTGAATAAACGAAAGAGATTTTTCAGAAAATCCACAATAACTGCATATAGACACAAAAAGCGAATTAGTAATTGGACTAAATGCTTTAGAAAAGTAAAGAGGTATGAGAGCTACTGCTTTTTGATTGATAAGCGCCGTTGTTATGTTGTCCGTTAAATCACAGAGTGCCGAAGCTGTATTATGACCTTGTCGAAATCCAGATTGTTTAAAATACTCAGATTGCGGCAAAAATCGCGCGTCAACGATTTAACTCCGACACAGAAGACATAATTTTTTGTAAGAGGAAAGCCTTTAGATCTAACTGGACTAACTGGACTAAATAGTTAATTTTCACAGTTTCTTCATAGGGGTGCGCCAGCTAAGAGTCGATATAATGCTGCTCACAAGACAAAGACTTTTGTTTGATTAGTATAAATTCTCGTAATGCAGTAGTTGGTACGTATAATTTGAAGACATTTCAGTCAGACACTGGCTGCGCATCCACAATATCCCCCATAGACAAACTACATTCATTGAGAGTTTGCCAAAAATACTACTAACACGTAATTGATGTATCTCCAATTTACATATAAAAAAAAGGTAATGAAAAACAAAGTTTCTTCTGCACACATATTTTTGTCAGCATTAAAAAATTTGGAACTATATAATGTAAAGCTTTGTATGTTGAATGAAAAAGGATTGAAGGTGTGCGTTAATCCTTCTTCTAGGGGTGGCATCTGCTTCATAGAATATTGACTACAATTTCGGCAAACGGACCCTGAACGTATCTTGAAAAGTGAGATTTGGCCGTTTTTTTTGACACTGTATTGGCTTTTTGTGACATAAGGTAGGTTTTTCTACAAGTTGTCAGCTTAGCACTAGCTGTTGTATACTTGTTGTGGACTAGCTTTGTAGCTAGACGTGTTTGCTAATAGTCTGTGTTGATGGTAATTCTATTGGTTTCTTGTATCAAATGCACTTACATGAGACGTATTTAAAGCTAGAAATGAACCACCACCATCGGAACCGTGGGGCTCTAGGAGGTACAGCGGAACGGGGGTGGGCCCCGCCCTAGATATCCGCCGGGTGGTACCTCCGCAGTCTACCACCTACCATATTTTGTAAAATGTTATGACACAAGGTAAACTCTACTCACCTGGAACAACAGGAAGAATGCGACCCACTGGTAGTACTTGGTGAGTCTGACTGAACTTTTCCCCGTGTAGTGAACTCCCGGGTAATGACCCCACTGTTTCGCCTCTTTCACGGACTCAATTATTATATATGTCGAATGTATCCAGCAATATGAGTTCAATATATCCTCCGGAATACCTCTGCAAATAAAAATATTTTCTGGCATTATTATCATCGCGGAAACTGGACAATATTATCATACTACAGTAAGTCGGAGATGATTTCGTTAAGAGGGGTGGTCACTGTTCCAAATATCAGTTACTATTAGGTTCATATGAGAGAAGTTTTAAATCTTTTTGCTTATGTCATAAGGCGAACTTGTCTGAAGAAGTTCAACCCACTTCAATAAGACAGGTATTTTGTATAGAGATCTGACTCAAATCAAGTTCATAAACAAGGCTGAATGTCATTATATACAGTTGGTGAAAAAAAATTACACATATACACTAAAATTATCTTGGTAACATTCTATAATACTCTGTTTAGTACACCAGCTTTTATACAACCTTTCCTTAGGAGGTAAAGTAACAAAATATTACGCCCCGTGACATGCGTTCAACCTCAGACACTCTCCAGTCTCATTCACCATCATTACGTTCCACGTTTCTGTTTGTGTTGGTTGTGTGGTTATGCTGCTTTGTTTGTCGCCATGTTAATCAGCAAAATTCAAAAATTACTTGCGCTATTTGAAACCGTCGGCGAACCTTTCTCTCTAGCGGCGCTCGTCGTTCTGCTTCACGACAACGCTCGATCTCACGTTGCGGCAAGAAAACAACGGGTTCCGTTGGGAACTACTGCAAAACTTAAGGAATTACCAGTTGCTAGCTGGGTTAATGGTCAGGCAGCAGGATTCTCCGATGACTAAATCTAAACATTTAAATGTGTATCCTGACAAAAATGAACAAAAGTTCGTATTTTAATATCCTTTTTCCGAAAATGTAAACAACCATAGATTCGTCACTGAAGAATTGGGTGGACCTCTTAAGAAAGTAACAATAGACCGGGCCTGAACCAATAAGTCAGCGTTTTCATTCGTTTCCGGAAATTCTAAACTGTCAAACAATGAAATTATCGAATTTGTCAAATAAAATGACCGTTACGACTGCAAATCTGCTATAAAACCGGCTAATATCCATCAACAAAAGCTTTGTTTTGTACTGCGTACACCAGAAGTAATAAATACTTATAAATCGCCCCGAAAATAGCACACTGTATTTGTGATGGAAATAAGAGAAAACTGGGAAAGCTCTGGATATTCTAAACATACACATCTGTTTTAGTGACTTCAGCTGCATGGATTTGGTTATGCGTGGTGGAGGAAGAATATGCACACGTGTTTCACATAGTATATATTTAGCTGTTGGTTTGATGGACCCTTGCTTATGCTCTAGTCATCTTAGCAACTTTTCTATATTCCAGAACCTACATTGTGTAACTATATGCCTATAGAGAATCAATAACTTATGCTAATAATTTTTATTGCCCAACTGTCTCTCAATTACAGGACAATAATACATAAGCGTACATTAGAGCTAAATTAAAAGGAAAAGAAATACTAATTAACGTACAAATATGTAGAATAAAAACGATAATTGAACTTGCGAAAAGTACGAGAAAAAAATGTTATAGGATTTTTGATACTATGTCAAGCGTTTACAATGAGCTTACATACGTATATACGAGGATTGCCTGAAAAATAAGCTTCAAGACGCTGTATCTTTGCCGCGCGTGATGCTAGACGAAATCTGGGAACACCATAGTGTTTGTCGGCTCCCCCACCACCGATCCCAACAAGAAGCGCCTATTTGCGATGGTGTGCAATTCATCCGATTTTTGTACGCAAAAACGTTACCACCCATAGAAATTCATCGCCACTTGAGTGAAGTATATGGGGGAAACGTGTATAATTATTCAACGAGTTACCAAATGGATGATGATGAACAACGAAGCAGGAGGCCGTCGATCTCCAAGGAAGTTGTGGCGAAGAAAGAACAAATCTTGCTCGAAGATCGGAGAATTACGATCCGGAAACAGGCGGTTGACATTTGTCGTTGTTTCGTTTTGTCAAATAAATTCCTCGTGTCTGAAAAAATGTGAGAAACCTATTTCTGAAGCAACCCTCGTAACTTGTTCACTATGTGCCGTTCTGATTATGAATGTCCTGATACTCGTATGCTTTTCAACCAAAGATGTGTTCTTCGTCATATTGGTCCGCTTATCTTATCTAGATTATTGAATTCAAATTGGTTGTTTATCTCTACTTCATCTGACTGACATGTGTATTGGAAAATCAGATTTATATGCTGAGAATTTTACCATGTGCAAGACTGTTCCATTTTCAGCAGTCCAATTGAGGATCCATTTCAGACATAGGAATAAATTGCTCCAGAGAGATCAAAAGGAACGAAACGCCTAGTTTGTTTGTTGATTTTTTGTATTTTTTTAAACATTTTTTTCAGTCAATCAATCAAATTAACAGTATAATGTAATCGTAGTCTAAGGAATATTGCAAAATGTTTGGGAGAAATTGTAGGTGGACGAATTATTTGGTGAAAACGTGCTAAGAGTGCATACGGATCGCGCCTGGAAGAAAATTTCCGCTTCATTTTTTATTTGTGCAAAATACTGTTAAAAATAATTTTCGTCAAGTCCAAAAGCAAAGGCAAATGCTCGATCAAAAAATTTAAGTATTCATATATCAGTTTCTGCTCCAGCTTGCGGTGCACTTAAATGGGGATTTTCTTGCAACTTTAATAGAACCTTCAATTGATTCCCCCTCATTGGTGACACTTGGATTATTTATACATTTTTTACTATATTCCACTGCTCCACTTGACTCAAAACGTTCTCGTAGTGTGGAAAATGTTTCTGGCCTTGGATGTCGCATATTAGGGTACTGTTGCTTATAAATTCGAGATGCTAGGAAACTATTTCTTTGGGCTTCGCCCAAAACGAACACCATATTCTTTCGAAAAATTCATTTTCAAACACGTTTTTATTCTAATGGTCACAAAGCCGGCAGTTTGTAGCTAATGAACAGTTTGTTTGTTCCCAAGGATGATGCGATATTTTAGCGAATTAAGCCGTTCCATAAAAGGCGTGCCAAAAGCAAAAATTAAAATTTGAAAAAATAACAAGTATCATAAAAGCTCAGGTGTGTAAGTTTTTTTTATGTAAAATTCAGCACTCCAAATTTCAAAATGATGGACTGAAGAGTTGCCGAATGGGGGGTTTTCCTAGACAAAACACCTTACATCTCAATAGCTAATTACCAATACTCCATAATATGTGATATCAATTTTCTTCTTTTGAATTGGATCATCCAAATATGCAATAAAATTTGAAGCATTCCATTTGAAAAATTACAACTATGATATCTAGGTCGAAATTGGACACCCTGTATAATTGCCAATATTTCAGAAATGTGCCCTCAATTGTCATGTATAACATCCCATAAAAAGATTTTCCCAAAATGAAATTGTTTATGAGTAATATTCCGTTCACGCATGGATGGGCCACCCTGTATAATAGCTAGGGGAATGAATCTTGGCTTATTTTTCTACCCATAGAACACCCACAGATAACATATTTGAATACAAAAATCGGGATAAGGATTTTTAAGTTATTGCAATAGAACCACTAAAAATCTGTCAATTTACTATTTATTTTGATCACTTCTACTCGCTAATCTGTAACCTTGTGACGAATATGTGCTCTAACATGCTACGAAAGTGCAATAAATTCCAAATTAAAATGGAAAAAATTTTAGATTTTTGTTTTTATTACAGTTTCTTTGAAGAACATTGTTTCTTATAAAAATCTATTGTACGACTCAGGGAAATTCATTCATATTATCGGCTGATGTTTATTTTGCATAACAGTAAGACAGAATGGTTTTACTGTGATGCAAAAATATATTTAAAGTTTACATTTCCAAAAAATTGCAACGAAAATAAGCGCATTAATTTATAAATATATAAATTGTCAGATTTTTAGTGATTCTATAATATATAACTTGAAAATCTTTGCACCGACTCTGCAGTTAAAAAATTTAATCTGTAGAATTCCTGAAGATTCCTCAATAACCTTTGTAGAACGACTTCAGAGCAGCCAAGCATACGGTTTGTTTGCCTCTAGTCAGGATAAAATTGCATACTACAGACAGAAATCAGCTCAGTTTGCTAATAATATTTGTGGTGTTAGACGATTTCAGGACATGATACTTCTTGATACATCCTTCCACCGGTTAGTACTGAGTTGATACAACGTTGTCCCTTGGTAGGTAATGGCAGTCGAATGAGTCCAAAGTAAGCATTAAATTTTACGCAATTTTGGCAACAAACAATGCAATGTAAGCACCAAGGACTTGGTTCCTTCTATTCTCTCCGACTTTGTACGACGTGGGGTGTTGGTTGAAAAACACTTACCTAATTTCCATACAGTCAATAGGATTGCCTACGTACTGCCTTGTGGTGACGGCAATTGAAAATGTAATCAGTAATACCACTGTGCTGTTTGAATGCAGTCTCAAAGTGTTCGAGTCAATCACTGTTCTGTTAGGCTGAAAAATTAAAAAAATATACAAAGTGACAATAATATTACGCAAAATAGTTGTTTTCTCATTCAGAGCGTACTTCATGAACTTATGAATAACGAAATTAGAGGCAAACCGGCCACCATGAGGAGCCGATGTATAGGCATCTTATGGACCGCTATAAATATGCCCTTATACTCAAGCTGCGCGCTTCTATTACAACTATTTAAAACTGTAATGACTCATACGCGTGATCAACACGTGATCAGAGCTCGATCCCGGCTTCCTTCCAGTACAGCCGTATAGCGTACGACATATGTCGTTTCTGTGGCTTTGCGGTGGTCAACAGCACAGACACAGATGGAAATAATGGCTGATTGTTCTCCGCCGCTAGAACCAATGAAATCAAAGACGCGCCTCGACCGGCAGACTCATAGGCGTCGGCAACGCATTGGAACGTGTTTCGTTGAGCGATCGCATATTGTGTGTTTTTATAAGAATTGTTGTGTGATTGTTATTGTTGTGGTTTCTGTGGTTACTGTTTTGGTTATACTTAACCATGGAGAGTACAAATGGCACGAGTGGAAGTACTGAAGCCAGGGAACAAGTAGAAAGTATTACATTCAGTTCTCTTTGCTAATCAACTACGAGAAAACAAATTGAGATATGTATATACGTAACGGAGCATTCCTTTGCCTACCTTTGTGATTGTGCAGACTCCTCTCAGCAGTTCCAAACTCTTCGTACCATCTTCAGCAATACGTTTTCTGCGTGATTTCCCTTCGTACTGATATTTTGACGATTTTCTATTTCTCAGCGTTTGCATGGCATGAGGTTTGTATGTAGGTGGTGGAGGCTTATCCTTAGATTTGGCAGTTTTGGTAGCACCGGATTCTTCTTTTTGCCAGGCATCGTATCTGATGGGTAAAAATGTTTACAACATAAAGCCTGTGGTCGTTATTTTCCTGATGCCTATTAAGGTAGAGGGTAAAAGCGCAATGTTGTTGAACCGTTCAGTGCGGATCATAAAATAAATATCAAATAACTATTATACAGTGTGAGTCTTCATAAAGTGCACATAGTAAAATCAAGGAAACTACACCTTATTTTATTGACGGAAAAATTATAAAAAAAATAATTAAAGACAATAATTGATTTTTTATGAATATTTTAAAATTTTTAGAGTCAGCTGCTAACCCTCTTTAAATAATTCGTTGCAACTTTTAAACTGGATGTCCTATCATATTGGAATAGATTTTGTAGTGATTGCAAATAATTGGCCGTACCAGTAAAGTGAAAATTTCCACGAAATTAAATGCTATAAATTTAAAATAAAGAGGAATATGCTGAAACTCACTATTTTTTCAATGATTTTTAAAACAATTGCTAAATTTCAATAAAAATTGTCCTATTTACCCTACCTTTTTTAAATGTTAAGTTATTCTACATGTTATTAGCTTCCTAATGGTGAAAAATTGTAAGTTTATTACTTAGATACAAGTTTTTAAATCAGCGTTTCAAAAAGCAGTGAACTCAGTTCAACGCCAGAGTAGGAATAAAACAACAGTATTAACCTACATGAATCATTCATTATCTTTAACAAATAAAATCAAATAGACGTCTATAGGATAATCATTTTGGCTTAATGCATCAAATGTTCAAAATGGCCACCCCGTTGCTGCAAACACATTGTAGCGCGAAGTGAAATTTGATGAGTTGCCCTACGAATCATCTCGGGATCATTTTTGATTTCGTTTGCAACACGCAAAACTCTTTCTTCATGTTCCGCTTCGCTGTTTATGGAACTGCTGTACACCCTTTGTTTCATTGTCCCCCATAAAAAATAGTCCAGAGGTGTGAGGTCTGGGGAATGCGTCGGCCACCCAACAGGTCCTTGTCGACAGATCCAGCGGCCTGGATAATTTTCATTAAGAAAAGACCTGACAATCAGCGAGTAATGGGCAGGACATCCATCCATTTGAAGCATCATTCTTCGACGGGTTTGCAGCGGCAGTTCTTCCGACAGCAAGGGCAGTTCAGTCCGCAAAAGCTCCAGAAATCTCTCTCCGTTTAATGTCCTCCGGAGTATTATTGGACCAATCAAAAAGTTGTCAATCAGTGCGGCCCACACATTTACAGAAAATTTCACTTGAAATGTTGAAGCCCTTTTCAGCCTAGGGTTTTCATCTTTTGGGCACCACTTGCCGTCTCTCGTGAATTGAGATGCATCTGTCCACAGAATTGTTTTCGGGAATTCAGGACTGTCTCTTGTTTTTATTAAAATCCATGTAGACATAACGCACCTTGGACGCCAATCCACATCTTCATGCAAGTGCTGCACCCTTTGATAATGGTATGGATGCAACCCTGCTTTCCGCAAGATGCGCCAAATCGATTTCTGGGATACGCCATGACGTAACGCCAAACGTCTCGTACTAGTAGTCGGGTCAGCAAACAAATCATCCAAAATGGCTTCTTCGATAGCAACATGAATAATAACACCTGGTTCGCGGCGATCTCGAGGTAGACCAAGTCCAGTGTTAGCCAGTCTTCTATGTACTTCTTGGAAGTTACGGGCTGATGGAACAGGGCGTCGATTTGGAAATGCAGCTAGATAAGCTGTGCAAGCAGCTCTAGCACTCCCTCGGTACATTCCATAATAATAATGGATATCGGCAATGTGTGCCGGAGGGAAATCACTTATACGTGGCATCGCGACCAAAAAGCGAAAGCGTGATATGTAGCAAACGAAACTGATAAAGTTGGCAGGAGAAACACAAATAGCTGCCTAACTGCCCAACATTCAACTGTTTTTCAACTGGGCCCGCCTCCCCACTCGTACTTCAGCCCGCGCGACTCTACATTGAATCACCAAAAAAAGGTATCTACATGATAAACAATGGTGCCTAGCAGGACGATGCGCATGGGCTTTTTTATAAACACTCATAGAAACTGTTACATTTGAGTAATAAACGTGTAATTAATACTTTTATAAAGCTGACAACATGTAGAATAACTTACAAATAAAAAAAGGTAGGGTACAAGGGACGATATTTATAGAAAATTTGAAATTATTGTAAAAATGATGAAAAAAAAAACAGATTTTCATCAAAATTTTCTTTATTCTAAATGGATGTCAAATGGATTCTTCACTTTTCAGGCACGTCCTTTTACCAGCAATCACTACAAAATGTATTCCAATATGATAGTTTAAAAGTTGTAACGAGTTATTTCAATGTGGTTAGAAGCTGCTACTAAAAATTTTAAAATATTCATATATTCATAAAAAATCAAATTCATGTTTTTTTGATGATTTATCCGTCGATGAAATAGAGTGTAGTTTCCCTAATTTTGATATGTGCACTTTATGAAGACTCACACTGTATACACATGGCGTACCGAACCCACAATATTTGAATCTTTGGATCTCGGAAACTACTCAAGGAGAAAGTTTGAGTCCATGGACTCCTTCAGTCTACGTATTGGGATCTAAAACGTACAGCGTTTTCGAAAAGCTTAGCTTAGCTTCCGATCTTAATGATCCGTATAACTTAATTCCGTTCGGCTGCCAACTTGTGGACATTTTATCTGTTGGCATTAGAAACAGTGCACAATCCTAGCAATCGCTCAGTTGATCGCGATGGGATTTGAGAAAGTTTGAGAGCTTTGTATTTGGTTCACGTATACGTTTGTTACAATACGTGAATAAACTTATTATTATTATTATTATTATTATTATTATTATTATTATTATTATTATTATTATTAAATATATTATAATATTTTTTTAAGAGGCAGGGTGACAAGAACCAAGAAAAATCAGAGGCTCAATTCCATAAAAAAGTCATTAAAATGATTTTTTTAGACAACATATACACCATGAAACAATCCTAAGAAAGGGGTATACTCTTCCAGGCATGTTGTTGACGAAAAAGCACATGCGACGTTAACAATAAAGATGACATTGCACTCTTTAATAGTGTCAACAATTTTAAACGGACGACCGACGATGTGGAATATCGGATAAAATGACATCGTTTTTATTGATATACTAAGTGACATATAAATCCGAACACCCAGTTTAAATGGTTTTTATATATATT